ATTCAATAACCACTTTTTCTTTCCTTCCTGTTGCAATGAAAATTTCTTTTTCAATGATAATTCCAATCTACGAATGTCATTATTATTCATCATGATGAAAAAAAGAATTAGAAAATCAATCATGGTGATACAAACATGATGCTTTCGAATCAATTTTAATTTCTTCACATCCTTCTCCTGTGGATTGATTGAATTTAGATTTGGATGGTCATCGGAATGATTGTTCGAGTTCTTGCGTTTACTCATTTTTTTGATGTTTGACGCTGCCCGCATATGGCCGAGTGGTTTTTCTGGAACTGTGGCAGTCAACTGGTCCAGCGTTCGAATCCCAGGGGTTGCTGCTGTTATCGTGAGCAGTTTAAACACCTTTACTTCCGGGGTGCCTGCTAGGAAGTCACTACGTATCTTACGTTTGGCTTGTAAATAATGTACATAAAACCATCGAACAACGTTTATCATCGAATAAACCCATCCCTGAATTTTTTTGATGTTTGACACTTTAAGGCAAAAAGAGATTCCGAAAAACAAACTACACTCTCTTTGAACGAACAATGAATTAAACTGCAGTAGGTCAGTCCGCCTTATTCCTGTCTCGATCTATTCTCTTTGTATTAGATCCTTATTGCGATTCAACCTGTCAAATGGATACCACTGGGCTATCTCTGCCAAATGGTCCTGCATTCCAACCCCATATCACTGTTATTCTCTTGAACATTAGTATAATATGCCCTTCTTTTAAAATCACGTCCTTCATTGTTTGCGTTGAATGTTCATTCGTGTCAGAATCATTTCAATGATGTGTGTGTCATAGTCGAATTCTTCTAAGGCTGCATACATGTCTATCTCTTGTTGTTGTTGCAAAAACTCGAATAATATTGGCTCAAAGAAATCTCGAGTTTGTTTTGTAAAGAGTGGAAAACACACTTTGCAAAATGAATAAATTTCACTCACATCAATGTCCATTTTCTTAATATAACGTTCACATTCAAGAAGAATTTCCTGTCTCATTCCCAATCGATGCACATAGGAAAAGAGCTCTAAGGCATTTTGTTCATTCAGATTCATCTTTTCAGAATATAAACATCGACACAATTCTTCCAAGACTGAAAAATTACAACATTGTAAGTGCAAGATAGGAAATTCGTGGTGGGCTTGCAATTCTCGAATTTTCTCTCCTTCATCGAAATTGCATTCAATCATCACTTTGAAAAACGAACTTCGTTCCGTCAGAAAGTCCTTGTGGCAGAGAATGGAGTCATTCGTGGGTACGAATGAAGTTTCTTCCAAATAGTTTTCAATTTTCAATTTGAAATCACAGCAAAGTTTTCTCATCAACTCCAATTTAGTTTCAGGTTTGTGAGATTCAAGGAAAAAACTCGCCTCCATGGATTTCAAAAAAGCATCTGCCATGTTCTTTGTAATTTCTTCTTCCTTCACTTTGTTTTGGTAGGCTTTTAAGAAATCAACTGCATCATAGATTTTCAAAGATTCAGCAACACTCAAAAAATCTTTGATGGCAAACACCTGAGATAGAGAATACTGAATTTCCTTCTTTGAAGAAGTTAGATCCATAAATTTTCCACTGTATACCCAAACAAGTAAAATATCAAAGCACTTTTTTGGAAAATTCACAGTTCCTAAATCAATACGTGACAGCTTGGAACTCATTAATTTTTTAAGTTCCATTTCTGTTTCAGGTAAGACATCGAGTAATGCTTGCATTTCTTCTTCGTTTGCTCTTTTGTATGCTAATCTTTGTCGAATCATTGCAATTTCTTGTTTGATTTTCTTCACTTGATTTCTGAGTTCATGAACAAATAGAACCTCATTACCAAAACAATACTTTTCAATTTCCTTATTGGATTTTAAAGTGATCAATGTTTGTTCGTGATAGCTTAAACTGTTAGCAACCGTCCATGGAATTGGTCGACTCTCTTGAACAAGTGCAAAGTACAAGAGTAATGGCCATCTTGCCAAAAGAATCCATAAATGGCAATAATAATTCGTTTCTTGTGGTTGATCTGAAAATCGAATTGTTAGAGTAATATCACTCTCCATATTTCTTTCACTTTCCAAAAGAATTCTTTTTGTTTTTTTAACCATGAACGATTGAAGTGATAAAGATTCCATCTGTAATAAATGATCTTCCTCATCAAGCAAGTCTTCTTTTTTCTTCATGATGAGATTATTACTAAAATTGGAATAATTATTATAAATTTTCAATAGTTTGCGGATATTGAGAGATAAGGCATTCATGTAGCATCGATGAAACTTATCATCACGTGCTCCTTTCTCCGATAAGAAATGTACCAATTGCAAATGTCCACACAAACATGCATAATATAGTAATGTATTTCCATAAACATCAGCAAGTTCCAAATCGGAAGGCTTGAGCATGGATTTGACTCGTTGAAAATCTCCTTTTTTACAATACGCGTAGATATCATAGGATGTCTGAGAGGACTGATGATGATTTAGAGGAGGAGTGTGTGAATGAGTTATTGTTGTTGACGTTGTGGAACGAGAGGACATTTTTTCTGACAAGTTCAGCAACAAAGATCGATGAGATGAACTTGCATTTTGAATTGGATGATCCGTTCTGAAATGCGTTATTGAAATTGCGCTTCAAGATTGTAAAGGAACCAATTTTGAAATGAATTGTTTGTACAGTCCTCTTAAATTGTTGTGCAATCAACACTTTCATCCAGCAAGATTAGATTTTTTGAGCAGCTGTCAAACATCAAAAAAAATGAGCAAACGCAAGAACGGCGTTCTTTTCAAAGTTCGGAATCAATGAACAGAATGATGGAAAGAAATTGAAATTAATGCCAAAGCAAAATGTTCGAATGACTATGGTGGATTTTTCTAATTCTTTTTTTCATATTAGTGATAATAATGAAGATCAAAATGAGATTCGGAAATGGGAATTGTTGTTGAAAAAGAAATTTTCATTGCAACAAGAAGGAAAGAAGAAGTGGTTATTGAATCGAGAATTACAATATGAACATTTCTTTCCCATCGAGTTCATGAATGACAAGCAATTTGTATTAAATCACATCAAAAAATATGGTCATGGATTACGATTTGCATTTGTAAAGCTGAAACAAGACAAAGAGTTTGTATTACAAGTGATTCAATTGAATGGACTTGAATTATCTCAATCCTTTTTTCGCAAAGACAAAGAAATGGTATTAATAGCTACGAAGAAAGATGGGCGTCCATTTGTATGTGCATCAGAGGAACTTAAAAATGACAAGAACTTTGTGTTGGAAGCCATTCGATTGAATGAAAAATGTCTATGTTATGCTTCCCAAGCATTAAAGCAAGACAAGGAATTCGTATTTGAAGCAATCAAACAAAATAGGAAAGCACTTAGATGGATGTCATGTGATTTTTTTCAAGATGAAGATTTTGTGATCGAGACATTGTTTTGAATGCTGTCAAAAATGATAGTTCTGTGTTTGGATTTGCCTCTCGTGAATTGAGAAATGACAGAGAAATTACACTTCAAGCTATCAAACAAGATGGCTCAGCATTAATACATGCTTCGACAGAGCTGAAGGGAATTAAATCGGTGGTACTGACTGCTGTGAATCAAATAGGATGGTTACTTGAATATGCCTCAGCTGAGTTGAAAAATGATCGAGAATTTGTTTTGTCAGCTGTTAGACAAACTAGTTCAGCTCTTCGCTATGCTGATGAAATGCTGAAAAGAGATCAAGAATTTGTATTCGAAGCAGTCAAACAAAACAGTGATGCTTTTGAATATGCTTCTCAGGAACTTTTTAATGACAAGGAATTCTTATTGAAACTGGCAAAGCTTGGATGTCGAAATGTTGTAATATGTATTCCAAAAGACAGAGAATTTGTGTTAAGAATTGTCAAACTTAATGGTCTCTGTTGTTGGATCATATGGCTCATCATTCCTCAATGACAAGGAAATCATGTTAGAAGCAGTGAAGAATAACGGATATGCCTTCGCATTTGCGAGTGATGAATTGAGAAAAGATTCTGAATTGGTGATGGAAGCTCTCAAATGCAATGGATTTGCGTTGAAGTATAGTGATAAATTGTTGCAAATAAGGATGGAACAATGTTATTTTGGTGCTTATATGGAAACATCCTCATCTTATTAATTTCTCATTAGATTTCATTAACATTGAAATACATGAACAGTAATCCCGTGACAGTGTAGAGGATCAAAAATTGCCAGCGGGATGCACTCCAGTTGTTTCTTGAGTTGGAAACAAGTACATGATCCTATTTCCAACATGCGTTTGATGTAGAAAGCTAAAATCAAGATCGCTCCACATCTTTTCTTCCTCGGTTCATTGGATACCTTTTGTTTATATAAATATTACTTCAGATTTGTTCTTTTCATTTCGATTAAAGACTAATGATCTTGATTGATACTTGTAACACAAATTCTTTGTCACGAGCACATAGTTGAGAATGGCATGTTGTCCATACTTTACAGATTCTAATTAGAATTGTTTGTCTTATAAGTAAAACAAAAGGATGCTGCATTTTTTCAAAGTATAAGAAAGGTTCTAGAACTAGAACAGAAAATGTTTGTTTCAGATTACCAATGCCTATTATTAAATGCATTAGAAAACTAAATCTTAATTGGAGAACTGAAATCAAACAACCTTCTGTTCCAGCTACTTGGATTGTATGTTGGTTAAACAGAATTTGGCCAGATACAAGTATAAATCCTTATCAAGGACCATATGTATTGTGCAATTCTTGTAAAAATATTGGATGTCTCAATCCAAAGCATCTCTCCTGGAGAAATTAAACAACAATAAATCTTTTTTTTAAAAAATTTTTAATAAATTAGTTTTCAAGAAATTAATACAATACAAAACCAATAACACTCTAATCGTTTTTTTCTCAGTTAGACTTATCCACCAAATTTAAGAAATCAAATTCTCAAAATTAATTTCTTTTCTAGACAAAAAATCTAGACAGCAAAATCTGTAAAAACTATGTTAATGAGAAATATATTAAATATAATAAGTTCTCCTTCAAACTCGAGAGCAAGACCGTCTTGTCTTACAGATTCCACTTCTCTGTCGTTTCTCAATTCATCTAATGTATATCGAAGAGCTCTACCAGCTGACAATACCACCTCTTTGCCATTCTTCCATTTTGACATATTCGCATTATTCGCCATGGTTACTTCTGACCGGAAGCGTTGAGTACTTTCAAATTTTGGATTTCATGATTTAAACAGAAACTATTAATTTTGTTTTTGGCCTAACTCACAAAAGGTCCTTCTCTGCTCAAGTCTGATCAACTGTTTGGAAGAAGTTTCTTGTTTACATTGTACTGCATGTTGAATAGCCAATAAGTGTCCCCAAATATGCACGAGGGCCCGTTCAATCTGTATTTGAGTGAATGAAACCATGCCATCTAATCTGCAGCCCAAAAGGATACCATTTCCTGCAAAACTTCCAGCAGAAATCCAGCTGCGAACGGATTTCGGAGCAGGACAAGAGAAATTCTCATCAACATGAGCCTGACTCTCTTAATTTAGTTTTAATTAATTTAGTTTTTTGGGCTTATCATGATGCGTACGGTTGCGCTTATGAACAACTCTTGACAAAGATTTCGTGTTTGATTTGGTAAAGCTTGGATGTTTTCAAAAATGCTCCAAAAGGTTTGATTGATGACATGGAATAATGTTATTTTGGAGCATATGTTGGCCAATTCATTTAATGTTGTTATTTACTACGAAATAATTCTTCAAAGGTGAAACTAATCGAATTAATTCATCATCCATGTGATTTGAGAGAGAGATCTTTTCAAAAACCTCCTTGATTTCCAAATACTTGTTGAATTTGAGTATTAAAAGCATTCACAGGGACGATCCAATGTGGTTTGTTGGCCACCAACCAATCCCAAATGATTTTCGCTTCAATCTTGTCCGCAAAATCAATACTCGTGTGAAAACCATCGAATGGTTCAATTAATAAATAAGGTGGAATTTGATGTTGCTTGCAATATTCAAGCATTTGAGGTAATGGGAAATCCATGTAACCCAATTCAATATTTTTCAATTTCACAGTTTGTGCAACTTTGTTGGCGACTTGAGATAACTCTGCAGCTCGTTGTGAAGTGGCGTTTCTAGTGGCTTCATCTGGAGTGAGCCAAGTTTGACATGGATTTGCTCCTGAACATGTCAAAAAGTGATAAAGTCCTTCGTAGGTGACTCCAAGAGGATGAATTCTCTTGTGCATTTCATTCCATAAAAGTCTTCCATCGACTAAACCTATAAGTAATAATTTGCTGTTGGGTGGTGAACGAGCATCGAGAAGAGTTAATCCATTCATGAGACGTTCTTCGAATTGTTGAGGAGTGGTCATTTCTGAAAGGGAGTCTTTACACACATCATTTCCAATGTAAGCTAAAAATCCAATATAAGGTAAGGATTGAGGTGTCATCGAGAGACCATCGAGTTGATAGCCAGCAAAGTTCTCAATTTTACCTGCATTTGATAGTGAGAAGAAATTGTTGAGAATTGTTTCAACACAAGTTTTCCCGATATGTGTGTAAATTCACACCAATTGGTTCATTCACCACAGTGATAAATGTGAAATTCCACGACATGACATTTCACCACAAACATATCATAGATTAAATTTTCCACAATTCACAACAGTGTTCATTAGTCATTCCACACACAAATCCACATCAACATTTTGATCACATATAGAATCATCATTGGCCTCTCTGAATAATCATTATTGAAATACTCACCTCCATTGTGTCCAACATTTTGATATTGTCTATGCATACATAAATCACGTTGTCTCATTCTCAAATAAATCGATCCATCCTCTCCAATACTTTTAATATCCCATCCTGTGGACCAACATTTTTGAGGCCAATCAAATTCATCTTCCAATAAAAATCCAACATTGGTCATGTTATCAACATCTAAATATTCAGGAGGAACATGAAAACCACTTGATGCAGAATCACCAAACATGATGACTTGTCTTGTTGCTGTTGCATTACAATACAAACTTTCATAACTCCTTCCTGTTTTGGGTTCAGTTCCATAAATTCCATTACAATTCATGTCTCTGTTATTGAGATTGGAATCAAAAATTCCAGGCTTAATATTTGGATTCGAATCGTCACAATCCATTCCTCTCCAATCTGCATTTCTCACCAAAAAGTGATTTGAAGGGAAGAAATCTTTATCATCATCACTGACAGGAGTGACATAATCTGAAAATCCATTTTTCTTGAAAGGTGACTGATCTTTTTGCATTTCTTTTCGACGTGCCATGACAAGAGCAACCACCCACGTTTGAAGTGCATGTTTAATACGAGCTCTCTTTTCCATCATACGTTGTGGATCATTATTAAATTTTTGTAACACCATTTTTGGTAATAATTTTGAAAAATTTCTTCCATTCCACACCTTCCACCATCCATTTCCATCTTGATTGTTCATTTTCTCATTCTGTCTTGTCAATGATTCCAATTCTTGTCTCAACTTGAACATGGTATATTCGCTCTTTAATGAATTTTCCATAATTTTGGATCGAATCCTCTTTGAGTTCATGTTATTGCCAAAAGTAGTAGTAGTGGTTGAAGTGGTGGAAGAAGTACTAATCGAAGTGGCAGTAGTGTTGGTACTATTTTTCAACATACAACCATTACATTGTGCAATTTTTAAACCCACACATATTTCTGTCGCCGTATAATCCTTCAATAATAAATTCACAATCAAATCCAAACCATTTTGCATCAATAAATCACACAATAATTGATATTCCTGATAATGAGAGGGAATGACACGACACAATTTCTCAGCCAATTGATCCAAATAAGGTTCTTGTTTGTGAATTTCATTTTCGACCATGGTGAGAAGGACATTGCAGAGAGTACATGCGAAGTTGTTGTTGTTGGCGATTGTTGAGAATGTTGTTGTTGTTGGTGGTAGTTGTTGGGAATGTTGTGGAATGGAATTTGAGAAATGAATGGAAGCAGCAAGAGAGCAAATTGTCATCATCATGATGATCGCCATGCTGATCAGCACGATCCGCTGTGTCCACATGGTGCTGGTGGTGTTTGATGACGATCCCAAACGGCGACCGTTGTTGCCAACAACGAAAAGGAGTTGCATGCACATGTGGCGGTGGTGGATCGCTGACTCAGCGGGTACGTGTTGTTGTTTTTTTGAATGTGAAACATCTTGAAACTTCAAGTTTTGGTCGTTTCAGCAAATCTTGTTGAAGGATTCTTTTTTTGGAATTGGTAGTTCATGCCATGAATAAGAAAGAAATAGCTTTTGAATCAATGAAGTGGTTCAATTGAACGGAAATGAATTTCGAAATACTTCAAGACATGGAATTTATTTTAGAAGCAATCAAACAAAACAAGAGAGTACTTCGATGGGTACCACAGAATTTTCTCCAAGATAAAGAGTTCATGTAAAAAGTTATCAAATTACTGTACCCAGAATTTGAAATAGTCTCTTTTGATTATTCCAACAAAAAATTATGATGAAACTTGTGAAAGATTTTGGATTATTGTTACAATTCGCAATTATTAATATTTGGATCCATGGCGACGTGTGGTAGTTGTTGGGAAATCCCAATTCGATACAATCAACGTTTTGGAGATTCCATGTGGTTCAATGTTGTTGGGAAGTCCAAGTGTCACAACAAGATTTGGGAACTCCAAAGATACAACACCTTCACCACGGTTGGTGAAATGCTTTTAAAACTGCAACATTCGTCCTTGCTAAAGATCCATTCTAAAAAAAAGGCAACATCAGAAACATGACTAAGAAGAATAATTCCTATAACCGTACACGTATGTCCAATGATCAACCATTCTTTGAGAAAGCTCCAACATCTGCTTGGAGAAGAGGTGCCACCAACAGCAATTCCAAAAAGAGATCCATATATGGTAATGGCAAAACAGTCGATCAGATCGTTGGCATTGCAAATGAATCAAAAGCTTCATCTTTCTCCTCTTCCAAGAATCGTCCAGTCTCAAAGGACTCTCTTCTTCAACTCTTGGCAATTCAAGATCCCAAACAACCTGTGATGGTCAAAGGTGTTATTACAGAGATTTATCCTGAAGCATTTGCCTATGCCTTATCTGATCCAACGACCACCATACGTGTGGAAATACTTCCTGAGGAGGGTCATGAAGAATCATCCTGGGTCGATGTTGCTGAGAATCGATTGAAAGTTGGAACTCGAGTCCAATTAGTGGTCCAATGGAAAAAAAAACCCAACCTCATTGATTTTGTTTGTTTCCAATCCAACTAGGATTCTCTCAAGATCTTGCATCATCCAAAGAGTGTTTATGAAAACGATCAAGCATTGATGGATGCAAATACAAACATGGAAGACCCATCTCGATTGATCGAGGGTTGTGGTTTATTGATCTACTTGAAATCTATAGCGAGTTTTATTCTTATCAAAGGAAAATTGGCTCATCATGTGGGAACTCTTTACTATGCCTCTCGTTTTGCACAATTAAGGGAAGATATTCTTGAAGAACAAACTCGCCTGTTGCCAAAACATCTTCTCATCGAAATGATGAAAAAAATTACAAAAAAATGGAAAATTCCGTAATGGACAAGTGGATGCGAGATCAGGCTGAATGTTCCCTCACCACCTTTACCAGAGAAAGACCTTCGGAAATGATTCTCTTTAGTGTTGCTTGTACATCTCCTGTGTTTTCTCATCAAACGTTGAGTGAAACGATTATGGATCGAAAGGAAAGATATTCACCCCTTCGGGAATTCCTCAACAACCACTTAAAAGAGCTTGAGGAAGAGGTCTATTTGTCTAGATTTAATGAGAGGGTTGTTGTGGGGGAAGAGGAAACTTCAATTCAGGATTATGAAAAAGAGCTTCTCAAACCCTATTACTTAGTTAAGCGATGTAAGAAATTGTTTTGGCTGCTGTTCGACAGAATGGAAGAGCACTTGGATATGCATCGGAAGAGTTGATTTATGATAGAGAAGTCTTATTGACAGCTGTTAGACAAGATGGCAAGCTTTTTGTACCATCGTCCAAATTTATGGGACTATCCAACCACCAAACCATTCACCCAGTACGATTATGAACTCTTTAGTGATAAGTCATTCTTATTAGAAATGATTAAGGCAGGATGTCAAGAAGTTTTCAAATATGCACCGAGAGATATTATTGAGGATAGAGAATTTGTGTTAAAAGCTGCCAAACTCAATGGTCTTGCTGTTTTTGGATCATGTTTTACCTCAGACAAGGAAATCATGTTAGAAGCAGTCAGAAATAACGGATGTGCATTATATTATGCGAGTAAAGACTGAGGTAACGTTGTAGTATAAGGACTCGTTGGATAGGCCTTTCAAGAAGAAATTTGGACCAGTTTGTTTCGGGTTATAAATGTTCAAAGTATCTTCTGAGTTTGGTGGGTGATGAGGGGTTGGAAAGCGAGGGAATTTCTTGAAGATGTTGGCAGGGTTTGTTGCAGTGTTGGTGAGCTCAACTGGAGTAATGTTCAATGATGCCGGAGGTTGAAGTCCAAAAGGGTTCATGTTGGAGAACTGGTTTAAAGGGCGACTGTTCAAGTTCTTTTGAGATTGTTCATTCATTTGTAGAAAACGAGACTCCAAGCCTTGAATGTGTGAGGTGAGACCTTCAATTTGTTGAGAGTATTGGCGCGCATTGCGAGTAGGATCTTTTCCGTATTCAGATCAGAAGGTTCTGAGTTTAGTTTCCTTTGTTTAGGGCTCTCTTCATACTCGTTAGAGAATTCTTGAAGAGGGGACTGATCCTCTTCTAAATTTCTCTTCTTGTTATTCTCACCTTGAAGGCAAGAGCTTGCTTGGTTTGGCTGTGACATATATTAGACACTACTACGCTGTGTTGCTGTTGAGGTAATTTTTTGAGCGATGATCTTAGCATCAATCTACCAACTCCTATCTCTCACCAAGCGCATTCTGATGTTATATACTAGTAGTGCCATGAATAAACTCATATGCTACTACTTGAAAACATAAACGACAATTAAGGTAATAACATTGGTCTTTCTCCGCACAACCTTCAGGAATCCACCATCCGGTAAAACTACCAATGTTCTGCAAGTGTTTGCTGTTCCTAAGTAGTCACTATATAATGACACTGTTTGAACTAACAAAGACACCCAGTGACAGCACTTAATTAAAAGCAACAGGTCACAGACATTAAGGTTTCTTGAGAATGAATAACTTGGCTTTCCGTATGCGTCCAACAAAGGCGAAACCATTAGATCCAATCTCAACTCTCCTCCGCAATAAATCCTTCACACTGGTACCCTTAGAACAATGAGTGAAAAACATGTCCCATGACGCCAAAAACTCTGCCCATTCAGAAGGAATCGAAATTAAGGGAAAGTAATGCCCTCTTCTGAATGCCTCCAACCACTGATTGCACAGACAGTAGTTGTAACAGCTAACGATCGTCCCACAACCTTAGTTAATTACTTTTTCCAAACTAGTCACTGGTACTGGTAGTGGTTGGCCCAATACAATTCCTAAAACTTATGAACTTACCAAAAACTATTTCCGATCTGAATTGCTCTGGAGAGGGTGGGCGGGAGGGAGAAGTTTGCCCAACAGTCTGCTTGGGAATCTTTTAATTATCAAATCCATCTTCTCGCACTTTGTGGTAAATGATGCTAATTTTTTAAAGACGATTCCAATCAAATTCTTACAAAACGATCTTATTGTTGGATTCCGATTTTAAACAGACGAAAGTCGAGGCCTAACTGTCTATTAATTAATGCTCGGGACTCTACTGAACAAAGTCAATTAACAAAATATACAGAAAATCCCACAAACACCAGACCATTATTAAATCCTTAAACCAACATGAACGCAGACTTCAACACTAATAAGAATCTTTATACCAATACAGGTTGTTTTGCTCTGAGATATCCATTTCTCTTTTCCGACATTTTGAAATAGATTTGTTTGATATGTCTATTGAGTGTGAGGAAGATAAAGTATGTTTTTCCCTATTTTGAAAACGTAAACAACAATAAGAATCGGTTGGTTAATTGTAAGGAACAAGCTTTGGGTTTGAGGTCTCTCCTTACGCCCGACCTTCATAAAAAAAATGTTGAAAAGAGCGCACAGCCAACATTCTCATCCTGCTCCTGAAATCAGCCATAATGAAATGGATGACAAATTGCTGAACAAGGACACTCATCTGCATGTGGGGGTGATTTTGATCGAATTTTCTGCTTGTTTGCATCACCTCCATGATGAAAATTTGGAAATTGTGGATGAGATTCGGAGATTGGAATTGAAATTGAAAAGGAAATTTTCATTGCAACAAGAAGGAAAGATGAAATGGCTATTGAATCGAGAATTGGAATACATAGAATTCTTTCCAATTGAATTCATGAATGACAAGCATTTTGTATTGAATCACACTAAAAAGTTTGGATACGGATTAAGATATGCATCACCAAAGCTGAAACAAGACAGAGAGCTTGTGCATCAGGTTGTTCAATTGAATGGGTGTGAATTACATTTTGCCAGTAATGATATTCGCAATGATAAAGAAGTGGTATTGGAAGCTATCAAAATATACGAACTTGCATTAACATTTGCTTCAAATGAACTTAAACAGGACAAAAAATTTCTGATTGAAGCCGTTCGATCGAATGAAAAATGTTTTCATTATATAACAAATAGAGTTTGCAAAGACATGGAATTTGCATTAGAAGCAATCAAACAAAATAAGACAGCACTTCAAAGTACATCTTGGGAGCTTTGCCAAAATGAAGAATTCATGTTAAAAGCTATCAAATTACTCTTTCCAGAATTCGATCGTTTAGTTTCTTTTGGTCGTGCAAACAAAGGAATCATGATGAAACTTGTTCAAGAACATGGACGTTTGTTGCGATTCAAAATTGATGGTAATGCTCTTCGATATGCCTCTCAGGATTTGCAGGATGACATACAAATTGCATTTCATGCGATCAAACAAAATGGGATGGCATTGAAATTTGTTTCGACTGCGTTGAAGAGAATCAAAGGAATTGTATTGACTGCTGTGAACCAAAATGGATTTGCACTTAATTATGCATCGAAAGAGTTGAAAAATGATCGAGAGGTGGTAATGGCAGCAGTTAGAAATGAAGATTTTGCTCTTCAATATGCTGATGAAATGATTACAAGAGATCAAGAAATTGTGATTGAATCGATCAAACAAGGCAATCTTGTTTTTGAATTTATTTCTAATGAACTTTTTTGTGACAAGGAATTCTTATTGAGACTGACAAAGCTTGGATGTTGGAATATTTTCAGAAAGGGGCTCCAAAAGAAATTGTTGAAGATAGAGAATTTGTGTTAAGTGTTGCCAAACTCAATGGTCTTGCTGTTGTTGGATCCGATTACTCACCATTTCGCAATGACAGGGACATCATGTTAGAAGCAATGAAGAACAATGGATATGCGTTGAATTTTGCGAGTGATGAGTTGAAAAATGATGCTGATTTGGTGATGGAAGCTCTCAAATGCCATGGCTTTGTGTTGAAGTATAGTGATGAATTGTTGCAGCAAAGGATGGAACATTGTTATTTTGGTGCTTATTTGGGAACACCTTAAACGAATTCACAATTGAATATTTAATTGAAGATGAATCTGTGAAGTACCATCTAATGCCTTTACAATGATTCCCTATTCAAACCATATTGTTTCATTCATTCGAGTTTTTGGTCATTTCTCAAAATAGATATCATATCTGGCTTCATTAAATGTCTCCTTATTTTCTTTTTCGGTAGTTGGAATCTAAATGAGTTTGGAAAAACTTTTTGTTTCAAATATTCTTGTTTGTTCGGATGATCACACATGGATATGAATCTCCACCACTAAACACCAATAATTCTTCTCTTCTTCAAACCATGCAAACTCTTCATGGATTTAAATTTTGTTTGCTACTCTCATATTCAATATAACTAGCCACCTTTGCACAACAAGGTTCACAAAAACAACCATAAACATCCTCTAGAGAAGAAAGATCGAGAATGAAAGCATCGTCCAATTCAACTTTTCCTTCTTCCTTTTTCTCCTCATGATGATTCTGATAATAAACTTTCTTCAAACAATTCAAAAGGTGCTTTCGACAATATGGAATGCAAGACGTACTCGTCAATGCCAAAAACAATGGAGGATAATTTGAAAGAGTTTCATAATCCTTCACTATTTGATCCAATTGTTTCTCATATTTAAATTTTTGAAAAACTATTTTCAACTTGGAAATGTCATTTTCTGTGAGATGATTTAAATTGTCTCCTTCCAAGAGGTCACTCAGATCAGGAATTTGTCTTGTAAAGGCATTGTAAAGAGAAGGCATGGTTTTGAGTGAACCTTTTTGATATATAATTTTCGAATCATAATCACTCAAAATTACATAACGATCGAGAATAGTCGAGTCATGACATTCATAAAATCTCTTTTTTTCAGAATTTTCATTCAGAGAAGCACATTTCAATAAATCTGCAAATAATTCTTTACGTTCTGTGGCACTGAACTTTTTTTCGGACAAGTTGGCATGTTCATACTTTTTAAGACATGAAGGAGTTTCGATCAATTCGTTTTCTTCAATTTCACAATATATTATGAACAACATGGTGTTTTTCATAATATTTGTCAAAAGTATTTGTCATAAGAATTATTTTCATAAATTTGTGATCAACCAGATTCATAGATCGATCCAATGCAAAACATTTTTCACAAGGATGATGATCCATTCATTATTAATGACATTTTCCACCATATGATTCCATTGAATTTAAATGAATGACCAACATTTCACTCTCAATTATTATAAACATTATTCAAAACAAAACTCACGTAAACACATGACAAGAAATAATTCCGAGACTTCATTCTGAAATTTCGTTTCTCTGTGTTCCAATCGTCTCGCATCAAACCGATCAATTTGCAACTCACGACTCTTTTTTCGACATTTAATCTTGGCCGAGAGGTACATGTAAAACTTTTTCTCGCTCTCCGAATACATGTCATCGACAGCAACAAAACGATGAGATGGATTGTTGTCGGAAATGAGTTGATCAAGACGATCTCTCACACGAAGAATTTCTGTCATGTCAGGTGGTTTCATGGAAAGAGTCGGAGGTGGTGATGTGAGGACTGTCATTGGATGACATTTTTTGCAATAAATTCTTGTTTTAAAAACGACATTCATCCATTCGAAGAACAAACAACGTTTCAGAATATGTATTTGCATCGGAACCATTGAACACTATTCCACAAGTTGTATAAATTCTAAACTCCGAGCTTTCAATATTGGGAAAACGAGCGACCGAATGACGCACCGAACGTTCGGCCATAAAAATTAATTATACATTTTTTTTATTATCTTTGAAATCAATTTAAAACGAGTGAACTGTATGAGAGGTTCACAGAAATTATTCTTCATGCAATCCATCAAAACCTTGTAATATTGAACATATTAGATGTTGGCGAGTGTTCAACACGAATGAATAGCTGCAAGAAAGGAAGCCAAAACTTTTGCCGCCAAAACGTTTCGAAATTGTACCAAAAAAAATTGCCTTCTTCCGATTGGACAATTGGATCATCAAGACCCTCAAATGAATGAAAATACCTCCAGGAGTAATCATAATAACCACAATCCGAACCACACGCATGGATCTTCTTCCGAGAGAAGAGATCTTATCTCCACTTTGAAAGGCTTCTCTCAAAAAAGTATTCCCAACTCGGAACTGTATTCCAAGTCGTTACCTCAATTGAATTCGAGAGACTCTTCCATCTTGTCGAATAGCTTTTCAAACCTTTACATGCAACCTCCATCAAGTACAACAAATCTCAACACGAGTTCGGTGTCGAGATGTCATGTTTTAAACAAACAACCGATTTCCTCCGAAATACCTCTTGTACCTTTAAATGACTTGCAAGAATCCGATTTAATTAAGGTATTAACTTTCTTCTTTCCAAAAGGCACCAATTTTTCAATGAATCGATGCGGATGTGGTGTTTTGTGTCCTTTAATTTCTATTCCTGTTACTTCCCTTCAGCAAGTAGACCCTTCGATCGCTCATCGAGCCATTCAACAACGAGATAAAAATGCTTCTTCATCACATCAGCCAAAAATCATCATCCGAAGAACGCCACAACGAGAAGTTTCCATCTTTTTCGATCCGGAAGCTGCTGATAAAAACAAAACAATAATGCATCAAATTGACGAAGGATTTACAATTAAAAGAAATGAGAGAGTGGTGAACACAAACAATATTACAGCAAATTTAGTATCACTACTTGGAGCGGATGATATTTTGGGAACAACCCACAAAATGGATGCAATTTCATCCACAGAAGACACAGTCAACAATATTGCCTCGTCATCAACAGATGGACGCAAGTCATTGTCGCCAAATATTCAAATTTTACTCACAGAATATGAAAACCAATTAAAATCTCTCAGAGAGCAACTTGACCACGTGATGGCTGAAAAGCAGCTCATCCAGTCCACTTCTCATAACATTACAGAAAAAGCTGGAAAGCAATCGGAAGAAATCTCGAGGTTGCAAAACGAAAACGATTCTCAACGAGAAAAAATTAACAACCTTCGCAAAGTTGTAAGATCTTATGAATCAATGATCAACAAGAATGAAAATAATGAATCATTGCTAGAGCACAAAAATGAAGAAATTGAAAAATGTAAATCAATAATTTCTTCAAAAGATAGAGAAATTACTCGCCTTCAAGAACAAATAGTGCTGAGCAATAATTCCATTAATCAGGCGGCAGAAATTAAAAAACTTATATCCAAAAAAGAACAAGAATTATCACTCCTTAGCAAAGATATTCACAATTTGAAAATGGAACTTTCAGAGAAGGAACGATTATCACATGAAAAAGTTTCAGAGTTGCAAAATTCGATCGACATGTTAACACAACAGTTGAATGTGGAACAAGAAAAGAGCAAGAGTATGAAAATTGATTATGATTTGTTATTAAGAAGCAAAGAATCTGAATTGTTAAATTTGAGACAGCAACTTGAAATGGAACGAAGCAACCTTTCTATTCTTCACGATAAGCATCAAATGTTGGAAACAAAATTCAAGCATGAGCAAAAATTGATATCACGGCTCGAGCAAGATTATAAACATAATGAAATTGCAATGGAATCTCTCAAAAAGAAGTATGACAAGATGGTAGAGATTAAAGAGGAGTGGGAAATGAAATATAATTCAAAAATGCAAGAGTTAAAGCAATACCAAGAGAAAGTGAACGAAGAAAAAGCTCGTCTACAGAGCGAATTTGAATCTAATCTCCAGAACTATCAACAAACGAGTCAAAGAACGATCACTGATCTTACGACGCGTCTTGAACAGGTCATAAATGAGAATCGGCTTCACGTCACTGCACTGACAAGTAAGGAAGAGATGATGGTGTCATCACAAATTGATTCCCAGCAAAAGATATCAGAGTATAGGGAAACAGTTGAGCAGCTTAATCATCAATTAAGAAATGCCTCTGTAGAACTGCAACAAAAGGAAAATGAAATTTCAAAACTTCGAAAATTGATGGAGCAATTAGAAAAGGATAAACGAGCTCTTGAAGTTGTTATTTTAGAAAAAACAGATCTAATTGTAAGACACGAAATGAGCATTTCAAACTTGGAAATTGAAAAGAAAAAGTCTAGCTTTGAAATATCTGAATATTCTGCACGACTCTCAAAACTTGAACAAAAAACAAAAGAGTTATTAAGTGATATTAGCCAATTACAAGATGTAAATCAATCCCTCCAAGAGAGCAATGAAGTTTTGAATCAACAATTACATTCAAAAGACGCTGATATGAAACAAATGTTTGAGTTGAAGACAAAGGAGAACGAAAGCTTGATCAACCGAGTGAAATCTGATCTGGAAAATCAATTATTGGATCTTCAACAAGAAAAGGCTACTCTTCAACAACGTTATGATAATCTCATCGAAGAAAAGGATTCTCTACAATTTAATGCCCAGCAACAATTGGAAACCATCCATCGAATTACTGAGGAGTTGAAACAATCACAAAATGAAAACAACTCTCTCAAAACAGAGCTTAACGCACTCAAAGAAACACTAGTGGCCAAGGTAAATACGCACAAAGAATTCCAAGAAAAAACGGAAAAGAAGATTGAAGAGCTTTCGAATCTAATCGTGGTCAAAACAGAGTGCGCGAATGCCCACATACTTGAGATTGACAAACTTAAAGGTGAAATTCAATCTCTGCAAGGTAAACTCAGTGAAATTCAATTACACTTTAAAAAACAGAAAGACACTATCAAGGACCTTACAGAGAGTTTGAACATGCTTAATGAAAAGTTTACAACAACTCAGCAAGAACTTCAAATCAAAAAATGAAGCAATCATTCACTTGAATGCTGAAGTAGAAAAATTCAGAGACAGCGTTCATGACAAGGAGCAACAACTACAGACACTAAAGAAACACGCTCTCACCGATTTAGAAAAACAAATCATTGAAAAATCGGAAGCTCTCGATAACCAAAAGAAAATTTATGAGCAAGATATTTTCATGGTAAAATCTCACCTTTCAGAAACCAAGAAATTATTTGAAGCTAAGGTTTCTCTAATTGTAGATCTAGAAGAGAGAATTTCATCATTGAAAAATGAAACGTTGGAGAAAGATAAAGAAATTTCTCGATGGATAGGTTCTTGCGAAGATTTGAAAAAAAACTTTCGAGGAAGAAAGAAAGCAACTTTCAAGCAAGATTGCTCAACTTGAAGAAGTCATCATGTCATCAAAAGAGAAGTTGTTACAACTCGAAAAAGAAAAACTTCAATTGGAAGAGGAAGTTTCAAGCAAGAATTCCTCCATGAAATTACACGAACAGAAAATTTCACAACTGGAGCGATTAATTGAAGAGGCAAGAACAGAAATCAAACAAAAGAATGTCGAGTTAGAAGAAACCAACGCACTCTATCAAGAAAAATCAGAGATCTTGTCTAAGACATTGGAAGCGAGAGAAAAAGAAATTGAAGCATTGAAAACACAGTTATTATTCTCCGAGAGTAATTATCGATTGTTGGAAGGTAACAAAAATCAACTCGAAGAAGATCTTTCACAACTTCATGAGCAAGAACATAACTTGACTGCAATGATTCATGAAAAAGAACAAATCATCCTTGACCTTCAATTGCAAATCGAAGCACTACAACATGACTTGACACAAAAAATTAATGCCAATTCAGAATTATCAAAAACACTTTCTGAATTGAAAGATACTAACGAAAAGATGGATAACTTTATCATAACTCTAACAAATGAAATTAAAGACAAATCGCTCCTCATTCAACGACTTGAAAGGAGAATTTTAGAGAATACCAATGAAATTAAGCAACTAACAGAAGATAAGGAACGAATTATATCTAGCTTAGAAAAGAAAGTCGCACTTTTAGAAAAAGATGTTTCTGATAAACAGGAAGATGTCAATAGACTTGTCACGCTCAACGAAAAGCAAAAGAAACATTATACAAAAATCGTTAATGAACTTGAATCAAACCTTGAAGAAAAAGAAAATCGAGAAAAACTTCTCTCTGGCTCATTTAACGAGCATAGTGTTAAACTTTCAGAATATTCTCGAAAGATTGAAGCAATGGAATCTCAAAAAAGACAACTGATGAACGATATTGAAAAGTTAGAAAATGAAGCTCATGAGAAAGGTCAAGAAATTCTTGAATTAACAGAAAAGAATCATTCTCTTCAAGGACGAGTCGAAGAAATGGACAAACGAATCATGCAGCTTGAGAAACAACGAAAGCAGCAACAACATGACTTTTCCACTCTGGAGAGTAAGATGGAAGAAGATGCTGCTAAAATGAAACAACTTTCAAAAGAATGCCTAGATCTCAAACAACAATTGACCACTTTAGAGGGTGAATTGAGTTTATCGAAACACAAACTTTCAGTCTCAGAAAAATCAAACAATGAAATTTCTCATGAACTCGATGTCTGTCATGAGAAAATTTCCCTGCTTGAGCAAGAATTTAAATTATTGAAATCATCTTCCAAAAAAAGAAAAAAGAAGAATTAGAAACTCAAATGAAACGTCAAATTCAAGAACATGAAGAAACAATCAAGCAGTTAAAATCACAACTCCTTCTAGAAAACAAGCTGAAAGAGGAATTAGAGCATACCAAGGATCTTATTCAGAACACTTCAAACCTTGTTGAAGAACAAAATGATGAGGTTCAATCCCTAGAAAAGGAATTATCTCAACACTCTTCATTAATTGATCGAATGAAAGAAGATAGCGAACAACGAATTGCTGAAATAACCTTCTCATGTCAGCAACATGTTCAAGAACTTGAGTCCAAGGAACGAGAATTAATAGAATTGAGACAAAATTATCAAAAATTGGAGAACATGTTCTTTCAAATGGAGAAAGATTACCGAACGTTACAAACACAAGACGACTTGATTAATAAGCAATTGGAAGAAAAGTGTACAGAACTTCAAAATAGACTCGACGAAACCATTGATCCAATCTCAAATCGAGAACAAGAATTAAAATTCCTAATGAAAGAAAATTCAGAATTGAGAGAACAAATTCAGGAACAAAAGAATAGTACCGATCGAATGCAGCAAGAAATTGAAAGACTCTTGGAACAACTCACCAGCAATTCAAGCATTAGCACGTCACCATCCATGTCAATGACTGATACGAGTAGTATTCTTTCAACTTCATTATTGTCTTCAACAAGCCTTCAAGGTTCATTTGTGAGCGGTGTTGTCAACACCACTGGAGCAACAACAACCACTTCGGTGGCATCAACTACTACTTCTTCCACTCGTCAAACTCAACAACCAAAAACAACTCAATCTCCAAAGAAAACTCAACACATGATGCAATCAGCAACTCTTGATTTGAAACATTTATGGAAACAATTAAGAGCAGAAATTATTCGATTGAAACAGAAAAATGTGGAACTCGCTCAACAAATTATGCAAGTTCAAAAGTCAAAGGAAGAAACAATTGTGAAATATGAAAAACAAATCAAGTCAACATTTATTGATTTGATGCATTACAAAAAGGTAGCGGAAGAGGTTGAACAATTGAAATTGGACAATACTCGTTTGTCATTGGCAAAGAAAGAAGTGGAAGACAATTTATCAAAACTAGGTGCGAAACTTTCTGCATTAGAAACAGAAAAACAGAATTTATGGAAATTGCAGGAACAAACCAGAAAGGAACTTATTAACTTGAAGGAAAATGTGATCAAACTCACAGAAGAAAATGAAAAACTCTCAAAAATGGAGATACGTGCATCCAACCAAACCAATATTGAGATTGAGAAGTTAAAGAAGGAAAAACGAAGTTTGGAAGAAAAACTATTATCTGTTACGGATTCATCAAAGAGTCAAAAAGAAATTACCCAACTCACAAACAAACTAAAAGAAGCTCGAACGACGAGAGAAAAACTTGAAAAACTTCTCAGAGAACAACGACTTCAAATCGAAGAAATGGATACAAAGAATAGAGAATTGAGACTGAAAATCACCTCTCTTGAAAATTGTACTAGTAATACCAATAAATAGCGAGATTTCAAATTCAACACTGCAATAATTCAAGAAAGTAAATGCATTATTTCATGTAATTTATTCATGCGAACTTAATACTTGACTTTCTTGGAGGGTGGAACCAGACAACTACTTCTTGAAGGAGCATCGTGGTGTGTCGTTATTGATCTGGGGTTATTACCACTCTCAGAATAACGTCCCGAGTGAGAGGAATGATGGCCATCACCTTGCTGTGGATGGTAGTGCTGTTGTCCACTACTACTACTGCTACCACCATGATGATATCCACCACCACCGCTGCTACTGCCTGATCGTCCATCATTATGTGACGAAGAATAATGCGAACGATGATGGTGATAATGTGGTTGTTGTTGCTGTGACGAAGAAGGATGGTAAGAATGTCTACTACCACTCGAATGGTAATGGTGTGACGAAGAAGATGATGAGGAGAATGGAGGTGGTGGAGGAGGAGGTGGAGGTGGTGGTTGATAATGATGTCCAGCCGATGATGAGGATGAAGAGGAAGATGCCACTGCTGCCGATGCCACCTTAGTAGATGCTCCATGGGAGTGATGGTGGTGATGATGATGCGATGCAGGAACACCAGAAAGTGGATGCACAGTGGAAGGAATTAAATGATGTGAGGGAGCATCTGGTCGATGATCATCCTTCTTTCTTGTTGAAAGTTCATTGTATGAGCGAGAGGGTAAACCTTTTGGTTTGCAATTCTTGGGATTCTTTCCTCGTTCCCAAAACCAATCATGATTCAAGCTGTCACTTGCTGAAATTCTTTTTGCAGGATTGAGAGTCAATAACTTGTCCAACAAATCCAATACTTTTGGTGAGCATTTCAAATTTGCAAATCGATCCAGAATTCTCCCTCTTTTTTGGTTCTTGAGGTTTGAGAGATTTCCAATGAGGTAGTTTTTCAACTTCGGGCCAATCTTCCACAGATGGGGTTCCACACCAACCGAAAATCTTCTCTAATTGATCCGGATCGGATGCTCCTGGAAAGAGAGCCTTAGGTTCCTTTTCACCAGCAAAAAGGGAGTAGCATTTCACCAAGAATGCAACCAACTGACCACATGTCAATAGAAGCATCATAGGCGGTCGCTCCTAACAGTAATTCAGGAGGCCTATACCAACGAGTGACCACTCGATTGGTATATTCTTGTTGCTTGTTTCTGTGAAAAACTCTCGAAAGCCCACTAGTGTCGATGAATGTGCAAAGAGTGTTTGTGGTTTGGCCAATCGTGGTGGTGTTGACGATGAATGACCAACAAACCAAAAAAAACCAAAAAATTTTCAAAAAAAATTCACACAATTTCGGTCAGAGTTCCAAGAGTCATTGAATTGCGGTTCGGTTGAACGATCGTTCATTACCATCAAGAGAATGCCATTTTCATTTGACATAATATTTGGTGTGAATGAATGAATACAAAAATATCGTCCAGTTGTACTTACAAATCGGCAAGCTTTAAAGTTCCATCCTTCTTGATGAGCACATTGGATGCTTTCAAGTCTCGATGCATGACATCCCGAGCATGGCAATAATCGAGGGCAGATAAAAGCTGATACATGATGCATCGCAATTCGTCTTCGTCAAATCTGTGACCCTTTCCATTCAGTCCAGCAAGATCATGTTCGACGAATTCAAACACCAAGTAGAATGTTCCCTTCTGATTCCAAGTAACATCGTACAGTTTAACAATGTTGACGTGATCCAAATCCTTGAGAGCACGTATTTCCCGAATGGAAGTGATTGGAAAGCCCTCTTTTTCTCTTTGAGGATCAATTCTAATCTTCTTAATAGCCACCACGCTATTGTCACGTTTATCAATGCCTTTATGAACCTCACCATATGTTCCTTCACCCAACTTTTCTTGCTTTTGGAATGTTTTGCTAATGCTATAATATATCAACAACAACAAGCCAATTATAATGACAAACATTGGAGTTGAGTGTTGTTATAACAACAACAAAGGACAACACATTGCAGAATATTGGTGCACAATGAGAATTTCAAAACAATGCTCGGAGTTATTCATATATATGTCATTGCAAACACAACACTTACTCTTTTTCAATATGATGAAATCGATCGGATAGAGGATTTCCAAAGCGAGGAGATGATTTTGGAGGTCTTGGGATAGACATATTTGGAGTTGTTGGTGTCGATGGAGTGGTTGTTGGTGTTGTTGTAATAGAGTTTGGAGGTTTAATATGACCACCGTTAGGTTTGGTGGTATTAATGTTTTGCACACGTGATGATGATGAAGCCGGAGTTGCAGACGTAGAAGCAACAACATGTTGTTGATTAGTGTTGATCTTTATATTATTATTATTATTGGTATTATTAATATTGTTGGAAGTACTTCGTGATGAAGCAGTTGAACTCTCCACAGGTTGCTTTGGTCCGTTGGTAGTGCTGCCAGACAAAGTAGCAGATGCAACTGGAGGGTGATGATGAGAGGAGGAGGATGCCGACACTGTTGATGATGATGTTAAAGGGTTATTCGTAGTGCTGTTGCTGCTAACGCTCGAATGATGTTGTGGTTGTTGAGGCTTGTAGCTTGCCGAGGATGATGATGAGGAAGGATTTTGGCTCTTGTAATACCTTCCGTTAGGGTTGCTGTGTCGGCGAGAGTTCTGATGATGGTCGTGTGCAACTCCTCCTTGGTGCTGATCACGTAAAGACGATTGTTGTTGTTGCTGATGCTGTGGATGAGCAGAGGTTGAACTCCTTCTATCAACATTCGTGGTTACCTCTCCACTTTCTTGTGTCTTCCTGTGTTGGTGATGATGAGCCTCTGGCTCTCTACCCGATGCTACTGCTCTTTCCTCCTGCTTTGAAGATTCCGTGGATGAAAACTTTCTACTTCCCAATCCTCCCGTATTACCTCTTGTATCTACCTCCATCATGGTGTTACCAGAAGAATGATGATGTTGGACTGTCGTTGTTTCCTTGTTGTTCCTTTGGTTTGTGATGGTACTGCTTCCCTCATTCAGCTGTGTCGCATTCGTCGTTGTCATGTTTGTGGGCTGGTTCGACGAAGGCATAACGAGGGTGGTTGCGATATTTTTTTTCTAAACATAACAACCAATCAATTTTTTTCCGTTACAAAATTGCGTGGCTTTGAAAAAATTATTTGATTTTCTAATTTGCAATTCTTCTCATTCCAATTGAATTGAAGAAAGTTTGAGTGACCAAATTTGGATATTAAATTGTGGTATTAAATGCACTGACGATCCATGACCCTCTCTTGTGTTGTTATTGTGAACAACATTGAACACCACAATTTAAATTCCAA